CTATACCACGGTAGTAAATGATAATAACTTTATTATTCATTGGTACTATACCATGGAATGTGGTACTACACCATGGTACGATACCATGGAATACTGCACAGCCATAAAAAAGAATGAAATCATGTCCTTTGCAGTAACATGAATGCAGCTAGAAGCCATCACCCTAAGCAAATTAACACAAGAACAGAAAACCAAATACTGCATGTTCTCACTTATTGATTGATTGATTGATTGATTGATTGAGATGGAGTCTCGCTCTGTTGCCCGGGCTAGAGTGCAATAACATGATCTTGGCTCACTGCAACCTCTGCCTCCTGGGTTCAAGTGATTCTTGTGCTTCAGCCTCCTGAGTATCTGGGACTACAGGCGCGTGCCACCACATCTGGCTAATTTTTGTATTTTTAGTAGAGACGGGGTTTTGTCATGTTGGCCAGTCCGGTCCTGAACTCCTGACTTCAAGTGATCCTCCAGCCTCAGTCTTCCCAAGCAGGAAACAGGTTCTTGATGGACAGACACTGTGTCTTCAACATCTCTTTATCTTTTATATAGAGAAGGCACTCATGGTCACCTAGGCTAGCTGATGGCTGGAGGACCAGCCCCTGCTTGAAAATGGTTCTTACAGACATCATGCTTTTTCTCCTTAGGAATAGGACCTCACCTCATTATCAACCCCATCCTAGTATAGCAGGGGGGCTCAGAATAGATTTGATGAATTAAAGACTGGGTCAACACATATTCCACTGGAGACACCTCAAGGGCAGCCTTCCCACAGGGACCCTAACCTAAGCCCATTTTCTCTCACCTCCATGAAAGGGAAGGGGGAGACCAGGAAGGATGGCAAGGAACTTGAAGAAGATAGGCTACTGCCCCTGCCTGTGGCCCATGACAGTCAGTGCGGCACCCTCTCTGGTGCCTTTTAATGCAGACCTAGGGAGTGCTTTCCAGAGCCCACATCTCACCTTCACATCACCAAATTTATAAGCTGAAGCAACTCTTAAGAATCTGTTACTCGGTTATCTATAGACCCATCAAAACTCTGTTTTAACCTCCTCTACTTCCCACCTCTCCTAACAAAGTAGTGACATGCTCACAAGTATCTAGATTCCCTTAGATGTGTCCTATAAGTACCCTGAGGTCACCCTCTTCCCTCTCCTCCCCTAGCCCCATCCTATCCAAAGCAGCGTTCTTCCCACTCCAGGGATCCTCTGGGGCAGGGCTGGCAACAAGAAGAAGGTGGCTGCCCTCTTTGCCTCTTCGCAGCTATGCTACTTGGTTGGTCACATTTGGTCCCTCTGTGTTCCCCATCTCTACACCTGCTTGCCTCTCCTCTGCCTTTTCTTTAAGATGTTAAAAACTCGCAATAAAAAACAAATACAAAATGCTGTAATTAATAGCCAATTCCAAGCCAACCCAGCATCTCTACTAATAAACCTCAACACTTGCAAAAAGAACAATAAATTCTGCCCCTCTCTGGTTCTGAGTTGGTCTCTTTTATATAGTCTCTGTGTGTGTATGTATGTGGGTAAGTGTGTCTACATATATATTTATTTTCCTTTATTTCCCATCCAGGGAGGGGCAGAATAATGAACTGCGTGCGTCAGGGAAGATGAATCTGAGATACTAGGGAGCAGTGCAGTAAAAAGATTAAAGTGTTATTATTGTTGGGTTTTTTTCCCCCATGGTCCATTGTGACAGCTCGACCGTCATCTGTAAAAAATGTCTCAGCGAGAGATAATCATCGGAAACTCAATAAAGCGTCAGGGGGAGCCTCAGCCCCTATCAATCACTAGGTGCCTGGAAAATTTCAGCCCTCTGTCTCCCTTCCTGCTATCCATATAAATGTCTCTAATATATTTTGTGTGGTGTGTGGGAACCATCCCTGATTTGGAACTTTTGATGAAAAAATATTTATACACAAAATATGTAAATCAGTTAAAAATCATAAGACTAGTTCTTTGCCACCCAATCCTATTTTTTCTTATTTTTATAAATGCATCAAATTTATTCTGTTTAATAAAACATGTCAACTAGTCTATCATCCTCTCCTAGGACAGATACACACACACACACACACACACACACATATACACACATACAGAGATTGAGAGAGAGAAAAAGAGAGAGAGAGTTTGGAGGGCTAAAAGGATGGAAACAATTAACCTAACTGGCTGATTTATTTAATCATGCAGTTGGCCAAAATGTATCCTGGTAACTCTGTGGTGGCCAGAACCAGAACTATGGAGAAATGACATGTAGAAACACTGGTCATGGAGCGTGACAAGGCTCTGAGTGAGCCTGGATAAGGATGAGGGGGGCTGTGACATTATTAAAAATAATAACTTGCCCACACAGCTTTTGGTCTGGCAGGTTCCCAAGCCTTTGGACAAGCCAGAGATCTGAGCTGACTAAGTGTGGGGCACATGTAGGCTGATATGGTTGCTGGGTCTTATAAAAGAGCAGCATTTGACATCAGTTCTACTGGCATTTGACATCCTCACTCTGCCTCAGTTTCCTTTAGTACCTGCATCATAGGGTTGCTGTAAATACACAGTAAGTATCAATCAATGTTATCTGTTACCCTGCAGCTATCATCATCATTGTCATCTCATTATCACCTCCTTCTGCTTCTCAACCCTGGAAGAAATCAGTTCCTGCAGTGCCCTCTCGTTTAGGACCTTCGAGGCTCTTCTCTGTCTAAAGGATAAAGTCCAGGTGTCTTGATCTGGCCCTAGTCTACTAATGCTGCATCTTTATTGCACACCACTCTTTAAAATGAATCTTCTGCTGTGTGCATGCTTCACCCTAACACATGTTCACCTACCAGCGTGAAATGTAATTTTTCTGTTTCCCACATCTGAGTGTTTTTTTTTTTTTTTTTTTTTTTTTTTTTTTTTTGAGACAAGGTCTTGGCTCTGTCACCCAGGCTGGAGCGCAGTGGTGTGATCATGGCTTACTGCAGCCTTGGCCTCCTGGGCTCAGGCAATCCTACTGTCTCAGGACCACAGGCACAACCTACTACACCTGGCAAATTAAAAAAAAAAATTAGGCTGGGCATGGTGGCTCACAACTATAATCCCAGTACTTTGGGAGGTCAAGGCAGGCAGATCACAGGTCAGGAGTTCGAGATCAGCCTGATCAATATGGTGAAACCGTGCCTCTACTGAAAATACAAAAATTAGCCAGGTGTGGTGGTGGGCACCTGTAGTACCAGCTACTCAGGAGGCTGAGGCAGGAGAATCGCTTCAACCTGGGAGGCAGAGGTTGCAGGTGAGCTGAGATTGCACCACTGCCCTCCAGCCTTGGTGAAAGAGTGAGACCCCATCTCAAAAAAAAAAAAAAGAAAAGAAAAAGAAAAAGAAAAAAATGTTGGCAGGGTGTGGTGGCTCACAACTAATCCTAGCACTTTGGGAGGCTAAGGCAGGTGGATTGCCTGAGCTCAGGAGTTCAAGACTAGCCTGGGCAACATAGTTAAACCCTGTCTCTACTAAAATACAAAAAATGTGCCAGGCATGGTGGCATGTGCCTGTAATCCCAACTACTCAGAAGGGTGAGGCATGGGAATTGCCTGAGCCCAGAAGGCAGAGGTTGCAGTGAGGTGAGATCGTGCCACAGTATTCTAGCCTGGGCGACAGAGCAAGACTGTGCCTTGGGAAAAAAAAATTTTTTTTATAGAGACGGGGGTCTCACAATGTTGCCCAGGCTGGTCTTGAACTCCTGGGCTCAAGCAATCCTCCTGCTTCAGCCTCCCAAAGTCTTGGGATTATAGGCATGAGCCACTATGCTTGACCACTCTGTATGTTTTGAATATAGTATACCCCTTCTCTACTCACAATCAATTGCACCCACCTGTCAATCCTCCATACAGCTGTCCAAAATCTTTCTATATTTTGAGGCTCAAATGTCATTTATTTCCTTGACCTCTTCAGCCAGAGATTCTCTTCTCTGAGCTCTGACAGTCCTTGTTATCTGTACCTCTTACTGGACCCTTTGTCAAATATCGTCTTGGTAATGTCTTCTGTCTTTATTATTAATAATTACTGTTCTTACAAGCATCTTACATTTGCACAATGCCTTGTATCTTCTCAAGCGCTTTCATAAGTACTCCAATTTGGGCCTTATAATAAGCCTATGGTGCAGGAAATACTATTCTCTACAAATGAGAAAATCAAGCTCAGAGAGAGAAAAAGAATTGCCAAAGTCACACAGTTAGATAATGGCTAAGCCATTCCTTTGACTATAATTAATATTTGGCTCTTTGAGGATAACAGTTTGCTACCAGAGAAAAACATTTGGAAGGCTGTGTCAAAGACTGATGTTCCATAAGAGTATAATGAAGAGGAGGATGTAGAAACAGAGGTTTACATTCACAGAATTTCTTCTACGTTCTAGACTTTAGATTAGGGATAATATACCACCTCTAACTCTCCCAATAACCTTTATTTTACAAATAAGGAGACAGAGCCTCTGAGAGGTATAGAAAATTGTTCCAGGCGTCAGAGCCATTAATTGTTCTGTACATGTATAATACCATGGGGCTTAAACACACAGCCTCTCTAGGGGAGTGAAGCTTAAAGTGGCAAAATAAGATCTCTTGCAGGGAGGTGAAGGCCTAGATGAGTTTTCTAAGCAGTTCAAGCATAAGACTACAACTAATACCTGTAGTCTAGATCATGCTCCCCAAAGGGTAGGAGCCTATTAGAAATGCAAAACCTCGGGTCCCACCCCACACCTACTCAATCAGAATCTCTGAGGGTAGGGTCTAGGGATGAGTGTTTTAACAAGCTTTCTAGGAGATTCTTATTTCCTTAGCCTTATTATTGTCATCTGAGTTTGTGCTCTCCAAGGGCATACATGCTCCCCTCTGCTATGCTTGGGTTAGGATGGGTGCATTGTAGGTGCTGGATAGTCAACGTATGCTGAGTAGAAGAGATAGTCAGGTGAGACCATCCGTGGCATGTCCTGGGGAGGGGGAGAAATATTATACAGAGCAGTTCCATTACCGCCAGCGGGGAGTCCTAGCCACTTCCTGAACTCCAAGGCACTTGTCCACTGGTTTGTGATGCGCCAGCTTGCACCGTCCTGTCCCCCATCTGAAGACACAGAGATGGGGAGGTCAGCTGGAGCAGGCCAGGCCCTGCAGGCCCTGGAGCTGTGGGAAGGGGGCGCTCAGGCTGGTGGGGTTGGTCCAAGCCCCTCTACCCTCAGAAGGGCCCTATGCCAACCCAGCTTCTGCACGACTCATCTTTATTCAGCTGCCACTTGGAGCTGAGAAGAGAAGCTGATTTATAGCCTGCTGGCTGCATTTCTGCTGTGTTTTATTGTTTTAATTGTACATATAAGAGGCACTCAAAATGCTTGCTTGCCTTTCTGACAGCCCCAGACACCCAATGTTTATAACAGTTACTTAGAAGCAGCCAGCGGCATCCCCGGCTGGGCGACTTGTTTACTGTTACCACTAATTTATTACCTCCTCCATCTGAGGATTAGGGCCCACCACCCATCAGCCAGCCACAAGTGGAACACTCCTGGAGTGGGCATGTGTAGGGCTCAAGGCACTGAATGGAATGTGGTTGAGATCAGGGAATGAGTTGGCAGAGGAACAGCTATGACCCTCATACTTCTCTCCACATGTATTCCATCTCATTCTAAGCTGTGCCCTCTGCTTTTTTTTTTCATTTTTCCTGTCTTCTTCATCCTCCAAAGCCCAGCTCCAAATCCCACTTGTTTTAAGAACATTATAGCTGTGCGCAGTGGTTCACGCCTGTAATCCAGCACTTTGGGAGGCCGAGGCAGGTGGATCACCTGAGGTCTAGAGTTCAAGACCAGCCTGCCTAATATGGTTAAACACCATCTCTACTAAAAACACAAAAAATTAGCCAGGCATGGTGGCAGGTGCCTATAATCCCAGCTACTTGGGAGGCTGAGGCAGGAGAATCGCTTGAACCCAGGGGATGGAGGTTGCAATGAGCCGAGATCACGCCATTGCACCCCAGCCTGGGAAAAAAAGGAAAACCTTGGTCAAAAAAAAAAAAAAAAAAAAAAAGAACATTACTCAGTCTGATAGTGAGCCTAGAACTTCTAGAACATTAGAAATCATATGGCTGACAGGGACATTGGAGGCCAGATAATCCAATAACTTAGGGCAAGAATCCCCTTTACAACATCCGTGAGGTGCAAACATCTTGACTGTTAGTACCCCTTGAGGGATGAGTTGCTCAATATCTCCCAGGCAGGCTTCCTGCCTTACACTTTGCCAAAACCCACTTCCATGGAGAAACTTTTCATTAAATGTCACTGTGCTTTACATATATATGATTACCTAACAACCCTATAAGATGGGAATTGTTATTACTATGTTACAGTTGAGAAAACCGAAATTCAGAGACTTTAAGTCATTTACTCAAGATCACACATCTAGTAAGTGATAAAGCTTTGATGAATCATTCAGATATCTGGTACTGAAGCCCAATCTTTCTCTAGGACACCAATGTGCCTCTGAAGATGCCACTCTGAGAGGTGGAGAGAAACGAAAGAACAATCAGGCCAACAAAATTTCCATACCAAGCATCCTTGGGCCACCTGCACCAGTAAGACTGCCCTCTACCCAGAAACACCAACCTTGACAAAAGTAGACCCAGCTGAGTAGGCTTCTTGCCAAGGAGCAATGCTCACATGTAAAACAAGAAAGAGTGCCACTAGGAATGGCATAACCAATGACAAAGTCTCAGCAAGGATGGCAAAGAAGTTTCTTTCCTCCCTAGGCTGTGTCTGTTCTCAGCATGTAAAACAGATACAAAGCATCTTTGATACCTTTTAGTTTTCTTGCCTCGATCCTCTTTCCTGCTCACACCTTAAATGCTGGTATCCTGAGTAAAGGACTTATCGTCCTACCTCCTCCTCACTTTAAATCCTTTCTTTGGGCAATTTCAGTCACATCCATTGTTTTAACTCCCATGCAAATGGCCAAAACTCCTAATTCCCTATCTCCTGCCAAACTACTCCTTTGAGATCTCCAGACCCACATATCTAATTATTCACTCAAATCAGAAACTGAGGTGTCACCATACATACCTGCTTTTCCATCAATTCTCACAATCCACTGAGTGTTGAATCTTCAAATATTCTTAACATCAATTTATTCTATTCCCAAAGATCACCTTTAGGAATCTCCAGATACTTTAAATGTATTTTGGGAGGACAGGAACATAGCTTCTTATCAGATTCCCAAAGAGTCCATTATCCCAAAAAGTAAAGAACCATTGCTAATCTTTCCCCTCCAATTCTTCCTCCACCCTGTCAGAATGGTCCACTTAAAATGCAAGTGTGAATTCCACGCTGCCCTGCTTAAAATCCTTTAATGGCCTTCAGAATAGAGAATGAGCTCCCTAGAACTGCCTTATAAGGTCCTTCCCATGTGTAACCTCCTTCACTCTCTGGCCTTACTTCTTCTTGTTCTCCTCAATCTCGCAGCAGATGATTTTACCTGCTGTCACTCCCCAACCCCCCACCTGACGCCTCTGCATACACTGTTCCCTCTGCCTGGAAGGTCCATCCCTCTTAGCCTCCCTGGCAATCTCCACCTCATCCTTAAGACCCAATTCAAGGTCACTTACCCTGTGACATTTCCCAGGCACCAGCCTGCTCTCTTCTCAGGTGGAGCTCACCACTACTTACAGCAGTGCTGCCTACATACTTTGTGCAGCTACCATTGCATTTATCACTCTGCATTGTGATTCCTTGTTTACAGGCTTGTCTCTGTAAATGACTGGGAGCACTGTTGAGGGGCTAGACCATGTATAATCATTTATATAATCCCAGCAATTGGCAGAGTGCCTGACACTCAGTAAGAACATGCTGAATTATACATAAATGAAACTAATAAGCAATTACAACTGTAGAGCACTTAATGATCCACACATCACATATTTTATCTCTTGATATTCAGAACAATACTGATACGGAAGACAAGGAATGTATCATTGGAGGTTAGACAGGTCTTGCCAAAGCCACGGACTATAACTCACCACCTTCCTTCAGTACTAACTGAAGGCGGCCAAGGGCCACAGAAACATCTGTTAGAAACTTAGTGAACTTCATGGACTTTGGCACTGACTCCATAGTCTACTATAGCAGTGAAGGACTGTCTAACTTTCCTGAGCTTGTGACCATCCTGTGAATCTGCCTAGACACACTAGAGGGACAGGGAATTACACCCTTGTTCTACTCTACCTTCCTTACCCATCCCAAGTCAGGTAATTTTCCATGAAAAAGTCAATCCAATCCAAAAATAAGAGAACTACAGGACTCTTTTGTTTCTATTTTGTCAATGAGAAAGAGTCAGAGCTGGGTATGGTACCCTGCATATAATTAATTGGCAGTAGGTATAAATTAGTTGAATGGCTAAAAAAAGAGGTTTTCTTCAACGGAAAAAGGAAAGAAAGACGTGTTTAAGATGATGCTGAAGGCTTAAACTGATGAGATGGAAGAGCCCTGAGATGATTCTAATGGACTATCACCATCCAGGTCAAAGTCAGAACGTTCAGTGCACCAAGCTGGACAGTAAAGCACATCCAAACTGATACACCCAGGAAAATAAGGCCAGTTGCCAGAAAACTGGCAGACAAAGGTAGTCTAGGCTTAAAAAAAAAAAAAAAAAAATGGTGGAGAGTTAGATCTTGCAAGCCACAGGGAGTTTATTAATGATTCCCAACAAACTTCTAGGATGTTATTTCAGGTAACAGTTATGGGTTTTTTTGTTTTGAGAAAAGGTCTTGCTCTGTCACACAGCCTGGAATGCAGTGGCATGATCCCGGCTCACTGCAACCTCTGCCTCCTGGGTTCAAGCAGTTCTCGTGCCTCGGCCTCCTGAGTAGCTGCGACTATAGGCATGCGCCATCATGCCCAGCTAATTTTTGTATTTTTAGTAGAAACAGGATTTTGCCATGTTGGCCAAGCTGGTCTCAAACTCCTGGCCTCATTTGATCTGCCTGTCTCAACCTCCCAAAGTACTGGGATTACAAGTGTGAGTCACGGCACCTGGCTTTTTGTAACAGTTCTTAAACACTTGGTTAATTACTGGGTACTAGTATGGGTTCCTTAAGAACAATAAATCAACATGCTGGAATAACCTAATTTCCTTTTTTAGAAAGGGTTATTAGACAAGAAAATAAGGCAAATGCTAGAAACATTTTAATTTTAGCAAGAAATCTAGGGAAAAAATCTCTTAAAATTTTGTGAATAAAGCAGAGAAATGGAGGATAGAAAAGAATGAAGTTTGGCAGAATTACAGCTAAGAATGCTGAATAATGCATCAAAATTATCCTGACCATGTGCTGTAGGACTCTGTATTTAACAGAGGCCTTATAAACATTTTAATCCAAGTGAGAACACGATGGCAGGGGATCTTGTCATCTTGTTTAACTCATCAGTGCTTAAAACACTACCTGGTACATAAGAATGTGATCAATAAATATTCTGAATAAATAAATGTATCCATAGAAAGCCCACTACTAAATCTGCAGATCACACGAAATAAGAAGAGAGAGTTAATATTTTAATTTTTATTTCATAAGGGGACATGATAGCCTTTTCAAATATTTTTGTTTCCTATCTCTCCTTATCTACCCGCCTACCCAGAAGGTAGGCTGTCTGGCATAAGAGTTAAAAATAATCCAGAGGCTGACCAGGAAGAAAGGAAGAAAGAAAAGAAACAAAAAGGAAAGAAAGAGAAAAAGAGAAAGAAAGGAAAGGAAAGGAAAGGAAGGATGGAAGGGAAAAGAAAAGAAAGGAAGAAAGGAAAGGAAAGGAGAGAAAAGAAGGACAGAAGAAAGGAAAGAAAGGAAAGGAAAGGAAGGAAGGATGGAAGGGAAAAAAAAGAAAAGAAAGGAAAGGGAGGACAGAAAGAAGGAAGGAAGGAAGGCAGGGGAAGGAAGAACTAAGAAAAAGAAGTTATGTAATCTTGAACTAGGAATGCCAAAAATTTATGTAGAGCAGAGTTGGCAAACTACATCCTCTGGGCCAAATCCAGCCTCGTGTGTGTTTTTATAAAGAGCATTTTATTGAAACATATCCACATCGATTTGTTTGTGTACTGTTTATGGCTGCTTCTGTATCACAATGGTCAAGGTAAGTAGTCACAACTGAGACCAACTGGCCCACAAAGCTTAAATGTTTACTACCGGGCTCTTTCTAGAAAGTTTGCTGACTGCTGATCTAGAATGTTTAATATGAGTATCAACCTGAAGGTTACCATTAAAACACAAAGCTACAAAACTTGAATGTACGTGGTGGATACCAGTGTGACAGCAGAAGTTGGACTAGAAGGCTTCATAGCTCTAAGATTCTGTGAAATAAAAAAAAAAAAAATGTTTACTAAGCCCTGCTAGAATCTTGACAGCAGATGAGAAGGCACACAAAACAATCTCCTCCTATTTACCTGGCCCTGCCCGCTCAACAAATGCTCCACCTTGTTTTTTGGTGAGAGCACTTGTATTAGTTTGTTTTCACGCTGCTGATAAAAACATGCCCGAAACTGAGACCAAAAAGAGGTTTAATTGGACTTACAGTTCCACATGACTGGAGAGGCCTCAGAATCATGGTGAGAGGTGGAAGGCACTTCTTACATGGCGGTGGCAAGAGAAAAATGAGGAAAAAGCAAAAGGGAAACCCCTGATAAACCTATCAAATCCCGTGAGACTTATTCACTATCACAAGAATAGCACGGGAAAGACTAGCCCTCAATATTAAATTACCTCCCCCTGGGTTTCTCCCACAACATGTGGGAATTCTGGGAGATACAATTGAAGTTGAGATTTGAATGGGGACACAGCCAAACCATATCAGCACCTAAACTGTAGACAGAGTTGAGCACTGCAATGCTGTGTTTGAATGAGAAGAGGATAGTCCATAAGCTGAGTCCCCACATATCAAGCTGCAAATAGAGGGCAAGGTGGTAGTTATGAAATTCTCTGTTTAAAACATAAGGTAAACACAATTCCTCCAGCTCAGTGGGGAATCCAAGGACACACAGATTGTGGCCTGCATATGAAGAGGAGAGTAAGGACATACGGGTAGATGAAAGTTCAAATAAGCATAGAAGAGGCCAAGATCTAGAAAACATTCAAAAGAGCAGCTCAGGGCAGGTTGCAATTATTGTCAAGGACAGGGAAGCCTTTGTGGAGGATCTAGCCTTAGCAATAGAGCCTTAAGAGAAGGACCAGGTTTAGAGAGGTGGAAGGGAAGGGAAAGGGTAACTTCATACTTTACCTGAGCAGCAATGCCTTAATGCTCTTGGACACTTCTCTCATGCCACTAATTTGAGAACCTTCTCCCTGGGCAGCAACACCACTACTCTGAGTTACCACACACCATGTCACTCTGGCAGCCTTACAGCTCTGAAGGCTGAGCACACTGCTCCCCTTGGCTGAAGTTCCCCCAGGGCCAATGTTGTGGCTCTCAGGCAGTCAGCAACGCTGTCTGTCCTTCTGGCATCACTGCTAACACTAAAACAGCCACTCCTCAGCTGACTGAGGCTTCAGGCCCACCTTGCAGATTCAATCTCCAGACCCATCCTAGAGCCAGGGAAATCTCAGAGGGGCGCAATCTTTGTGAATAATCCAGGACAAGGGGAAAGCAGTGGAAGCACTACAGATAAACAAAAGCTCAAAAGTAAAATACTCATTTCTGACTGCAGCCAAAGCAACCAGCTTTTTTTTCAACCCCACTTTGGAAGAAGTACTCCCCAGACACAACATAGACTGACTGACTGAGGTACCCTCCAATAGACACATGACCAGGCCCTAGCACAAACCCAGACACCTACCTTGCAGATTCAATCTCCAAGACTCACCCCAGAGCCTCTTTACTCTGAAGTTCAAACCACCACCAACACAACATCCCAGATATCCCAGAGGAGGCAATGATGATTACCTCATTTTATAAGGATAGACATCAAGGCACAGCAAAGGTCCACTATTTGTCCTGGATTATACAGTAAGTTGAGGGGATAGTCCCAGAGACAGAACTGTATTTTACATGAAGGAGGGGAAAAAGCAGTATTCATAGTAGTAGTATTTAGAGACTTCTGAGGCTGAGGAATTCAGGGAGGCTATGTCTAGTTCTGGGGCAGGGATGGGGCAAGGTAAGTCTGCAGGAAACAGAAGAGGACCAAATCCACATTCCATGCAGTCGCCTTAATTATTTTACTGAAACCTGCTCTGTTGTCCATTCATCTGTGGCTCCATAGGCTGAAGTACTTTCAGGAAAACACCAGTTGAAATGTACTTCCTACCCCCAATTAGGTCATGAAATCAGGCCTCTATTTCTTTCCCCAAGACTTCTGAAGTGACATAAAGTTAGAGCCAGAAGACTGTGAAAGGCAGCTGTTCCGAGCCCTTTGGGTGCTCCATGAGTCCACAGAGATAAGGAACACGGAGATAAGGCTTTCGCTCTGAGTTGCTGGTAGAGCTGATACCACAGAGCAAGTCTGCATGAAAGCCACAAAAGGAGAGCTCTCAGAGAAGCAGGACAGCCCACACTCACCTTCCAAAGAATGGATTCCCTGTTCCTTGGCAGTCTTGTAAATACTGCTGAAATTGTCTCCAAGGTTTGGATCAGCCCCGGCGGCAAGCAGGACCTGTATCACACTAGAAGAAATCACAAAGACAGAAGTGTCAAAAGCAGGAAAGGCCCAGGAGGTAAAGACCCAGATCTGGAAGCATGTTTGGGGATTGGTGCTGTCTCTGCTCATGAGAGTGACACAGTAGAAAAAAACATGAACTCTGGGAGGGTAAAAGGTAAGCATACGAAAGACAGGGATAGGAAATCTTGGCTGGGTGCAGTGACTAATGACTGTAATCCCAGCACTTTGGGAGGCCAAGATGGGAGGATTACTTGAGCCCAGGAGTTCAAGACCAGTCTGGGCAACGCAGTGAAACTTCAGTAACAACAACAACAACAACAACAACAAAACAGCAGCCTCTGAAACTTATCAGCTGAGAAGCTTGGGACAAATTACGTAACACCTTTCTAAGGCCCAGTTTCCACAACTCTAAAATACAAACCGTTGGCCAGGCATAGTGGCTCATGCCTGTAATTCCAGTACTTTGGGAGGGCAAGGTAGGCAGATCATGAGTCAAGAGATCGAGACCATCCTGGCCAACATGGTGAAACCTCGTTTCTACTAAAAATACAAAAGTTAGCTGGGCATGGTGGTGCACACCTGTAGTCCCAGCTACTTGGGAGGCTGAGGCACAAGAATCGCTTAACCCCGGGAGTCAGAGGTTGCAGTGAGCCAAGATTGCACCACTGCACTCCAGCCTAGTGACAGAGCAAGATTCCGTATAAAAATAAAAATACACACTGTTTGTCCAACAATTACCTATCAAATGCCTACCATATTCTAGTCCCTATCCTAGGTGCTGAGGTCTGTGACCTCAAGGAGCTAGGACCAGTCTGCTGAGAAAAACAATAGTTAAATATAAAGTTACAGCAAAGTGTGATGAACGTTACCACAGGAGAAACATGCAGTAGAATAAGAAACGGGATCAAGAAAGCCCCTCCAGCATCAGCAAGATGGCTGAACAGGACTCTCCAGCATTTGTTCCCCAACAGAAACATCAATTTGAACAATTATCCACGTGCAAAAAACCTTCACAAGAGCTAAGTAAACCAAATGGGAGATTAAAGCACCTGGGCATAGCACAGAGGTAAAGAAAAGACTACCTAAAGAGGGTAGGAAGCACAATTTCCCCTTACCCATATCGCCCCTCCCCCAACTTTAGGCAGTACACATGGAGAGAGATATACCCATGGGGGAAGGAGAGAGAAATGAGCACTGGACTTTGCCTTGGAAACCAGGCCCACCCCGGTAAAACTCAGTGCCTGGAAGGTTCCCAAATTCTGGGCTGATGCCCTCAGACTAAGCCTCTAGGCCTCCCTTAGTGCCAGGCCATACCCCACAGCCCGAGGCTCCAGATCTGCCTGGTGGACTTGGTCTCTGGACCTGCTTCCTAGCCAGATTGACCTTAGCAGCCCCAGACTCTCGCCCTAGTGCCAAGCTAGCCCCAGCAGTCATGGGCTCCGGGCCCACCTTAACACCAGCCTAGCCCCTACAGACTGAGGCTTCAGGCCCACCTTGCAGATTCAATCTCCAGACCCAACCTAGAGGCAGGGTAGCCTTGGTGGCCCAAGGCTCTACACTGCCCCCAGAACTGGATGGGGCATGAATCCAAGCTTCAGGTCTGCCCTAGAACCAGGTCAGCCAGACAGCCTTAGTTAACAGGCCTATGCCAGCAGGCCCAGCCTCCAGGTCCACCCAGGTTCCAGCACAGCGCACAGCCATGTTAGTCCACATAGTTCGGAGCTGTGGGTCTGCCCTCGCACAAGGTCAGTACCCCTGGCCTTAGGCACTGGGCCAGCACCTGTGGACAAAGGCTCTAGGACTATTCAGTTTCAAATCAGTCCCTGTGGCTCCACATTCCAGGCCAGCTCTAACAGCCAGTAGGCCCATCTCAGTAGACCCAGTACTGAGCTGGCTCCCACAAATCCAGACACCAGGATAGTCCCCATGGACCCAGGTCCCAGGCTGGCCCCCATGGCCCTAGTACTCAGGCCAGCCCTCACAGACCTACCCTTTGGGGCAGCACCTGCATATCCAGGCTCCAGACCATCACCCACAGACGCAGGCTCCATATCTGCCCCAAACCAGGCCAGCCCACGCTCCAGTCCAGTCCCTGTGCCACAGCCTTCAGTGAACCTAAAATCTAGGCCTGCTCCAGCAGACCCAGGGTCCAGACTGGATGTGAGAGACAGCCTGGCCCTCATGGACCATCCTTGTGCACGCATGTTCCAGGTCAGCCATTGTGGACCAAGGGTCCAGGCCCAATCCCCATAAACTCAGGCTCCAGGTCTGCCCAGGTACCAGTTCAACCCCTGTGGACTCAGGCTCCAGGCCCGTCCACATGGACCCCAGCACCAGGTCAATCCCAACAACTAACGATTCTCTGCAGATTCAGGCTCAAGGCCCATTGCATCACAAGGTCAGTCCCTGTGCACTTAGGCTTCAGGCTGGCCCCTGCAGATACAGGCTCTAGACCCACCCCTGTGGTCCCAATCAATAGGTCCATTCCAGTGGACCCAGGCTCCAAGCTCAACCCTAAGGACCCAGGGACCAGGCCAGCCTGCCTGAGGACTCCAGCACCAAGCTCATTCATGAACCACACAAAACGGCCTGCCCAGAATCTCTGGACAGGTTGAATGGTGAAGGGCTTTCCCAGGCAAAGCCAATCTGCAAAGACTGGAGTAAGTCCCTAGTTCTTCATATACTCAGACACCAATGCCTGGCCACAAGAATCAAGAACAATTAGGGAAACCTGATCCCACCCAAAGAACAAAATAAAGGATCAGTAACCAAGCCTAAAGAAATGGATATTCATGACCTGCCTCACAAATAATTCAAAATAATTGTTTTAAGAAAGTTTAGCAATCATTAAGAAAATACAGAGAAACAATTTAACAAAATCAGGAAAATAATAAATATCCAAATCAAATTTAAGAGATTGAAATTATTTTTCAAGAAACATCAAAAGAAATCCTGGAGCTGAAAAATATAATCAATCAAATGAAACTGCAATACAGAGCATCAACGGCAGAACTGATCAAGCATAAGAATGAGTGTGAACTCAAAAATTAGTTATTTGAAAACAGGAAAGCCAATGGTCTCCAATAAGACTTAGTCCAAATAAGACTACACCAAGACAGGAGAGTGGGACATCTGGCTTCTGAGTGGTAACCTTTGTTGCACTAACACCGAAAAAGAATTAAATATGGGTGATGTTGAGAAAGGCAAGAGGATTTTTATTCAGAAGTGTTCCCAATGTCACACCATGGAAAAGGGAGGCAAGCACAAGACTGGGCCTAATCTCCATGGTATCTTTGGGTGGAAGACAGGTCAGGCCTCTGGATTTACTTACACTGAAGCCAATAAGAATGAAGGCATCATCTGGGGAAAGGATACCCTGATGGAATATTTGGAGAATCCCAAGAAGTATATCTCTAGAACAAAAATGATCTTTGTCGGCATTAAGAAGAAGGGAGAAAAGGAAGACTTAATAGCTTATCTCAAAAAAGCTACTAATGAGTAGTAATTGGCCACTGCCTTATTACGAAACAAATGTCTCATGACTTTTTTATGTGTACCATATTTTAATAGATCTCATACACCAGAATTTACATCATGAATGACTGACAGAATATTTTGTTGGGCAGTCCTGATTTAAAACTAAGACTGGCTTGTGGTTAAATGAATATGTTCAGTTTTTGGATTTTAATAGTAATTCCAATTTAGTAAATTCTATCACTGTTTACCCCTTCTAAAGACATGATTAGACTTCGTTAGTAATGTTAAACTTTTCGCAAAGATGGTGAGTGCCATCTTAAAACTTACTGGAGACTGGTTTTACATTTAGATTTATACAACTGGTATGTGAATATATTTAAATATGGGGGAAATTCCCTCATTGTCTCAGAACCAAGCAAGATTCACCTGTGTTTTGTGTTCATTTGCCTCTTAAAGGCAAGGGTTGAGAAGCTAAATGGGTAGCAATTTTATATTTTTGGCCTTAACTATGCCAATCTAATGAGAATTCCCTGTATTTAAAATGGTTCCTTTTACTTATTGAAAGGCATTTTGTGTGGTTTATGTGTAATATCAAAAATTATTTAACACTTCACACATTTTATAGATGATCTATAAGGTCACATGCTTTTAAAATAGTAGCCAATTAAACTTCTCTCTTGGATTCTTTACAATCTAAGTCAAACTAAGTTATAATTTAGGATTGTCTTTAAACAGCCATTCAAAAACAAATCTGTACAACTGCTGTGTATTTGTGATTGGGAATGGTGCTTCTGCCAACTTAAAAGGATTAAAGTAGAGGAGATATACACAAATTTAAAAATGATGTGTGATCATAAGACGTAAGATAATTAAAAAGAAAACCACAGGAAAAAAAAAAGACTACATCAAGACATATTTTAATCAAACTATCAAAAATTAAAGACAAAGAAGGATTCTGAAAGCAGTAAGAGAAAAAAAGCAAGTAGCATGTAAGCGACTTCCAGTAAGGCTGACGGTGGATTTCACTTTACAAACCTTACATATAGGCCAGGAGAGAACAGGACGATAGATTTAAAACGCTGAATGGAAAAAAACCTGCTAACCAAGAATAATATATTTTGCAAACCTGTTCTTCAGAAATGAAGGAAAGATAAAGACCTTCCCAGAGAAACAAAAGCTGAGGATGTCTATCACCACCAGACCGACAGGTCCAACGGTGATAAATTTATAAGAAATGCTAAAGAGAGTGCTTTATGTTGAAAGAAAAGGATGCTAATTAGCAACACAAAAACGTGAAAGTATAAACTCACCGGAAACCTGAGAAACATGGTGAAACTCCATCTCTACCAAAAACAAACAAATACATACATTAGCCAGGCATGGTGTCACAGGCCAGTAGTCCCAGCTACTTGGGAGGCTAAGGTAGGAGGATCACTCGAGCTTGGGGGGCAGAGATTGCAGTGAGCTGAGATCACATCACTGCACTCCAGCCTAGGTGACAGAGTAAGACCCTATCTCAAAACAAAC